CAGCGAACGCCCCTTTTCGCCACACGGCAACCGAACCAGTTCCCACAGCTTCACGCGTTCTCCCTCCCGAATGTGCCGAATGTCTCGCTGCCAACGCATCCGACGCCTTCGTCTCCTCCAGCGCCAACTCCGGCGGCGTCGGCCACCCGCCCTCCGGCTCGACGTGGCGGCCACCGCAACTCGTCCGCGAGGCTCGTTGGCGCACGTCGTCGGTCACGGTTCGTCCACGGTCAACGGCGAGAGCGTCATCACGCGCGCGGCCACGACGACCGGTGAGCGGACGGCCGCCGCCGCGCTCGGCCGCGTTCAGCGCCCGCCCAGGTTGACGGGAGTGGTCGAGCCCCCGCTCCCCGCGCAACTCTGACTGTCACTGCCCACCGATGCGGCTCCGATTTACAGAGGGAAGTGTGGTGTTGTGGTTGCAGCAAATTAACGTAGGACGGCTGGAATTAGATTAAGTCTCCCGCGGTCTGACGCTGGCTCCTTTTTCCTAGAAAGAAGTTAAGCTTTCAGTTTTAAATACTTTGCAAGATCATTTACACTTCTAACGGAATGCATCGTCGATCAAATCATCTAAAAAAGACGAACTTTTGACAGAATGTCGAACCTGTTACTTTCATGCTGCGCAAGCAGATTTTAAGGTGAATGCGACTCGAGTGTGACTCGAGTGTGACTCGAGTGTGACTCGAGTCGCATTACTGGTCTGCGTCTTAAAAGTGCAAGCTGAACATCCCGCTTCTACCAGCCAGCGGGACAACGTAGACTAGGGGCTGAAATCAAGTGGATTGTACGCAAGAGGTTGAGACAGAGCGCGCTAAGAACATTATGGCACGGGCATACAGTGGGTGTTTGCTTGAGTGCAGAGACTTTCATTCACCGATGAGAGATTGTGACGGACGGCAGGCCTCAACGCTCTGGTAAGGCCACATAGCGCACTTTTCAACACTCCTGTATTCTAAGTGTTCCAATAGCAAGTCGACACACACATTCCCGATTTTTCTGACGCAAGTTGACACTGCTGACAACGCACTTATGTATTTATAGAAACGGTCAGTCTATCCCTCAACACATGCAGCTAGCCCACCGCAAGGGTACGCCGTCGGTCAGCAGGTACGTTATAAACGCATCGTCCCAAATCCGCGAAAGGACACTGCGTCGAGCAAACGTCGGTGACGTGCCGGGCGATCCCAAGGAGGACGAAGGCTGACACCTGACGTTCTGTTGCAGCCGGTGACGCCATTGCAGCGGTGAACGCGTTAGAGGTCAACCGAGACGGCCTCGGCCAGGGCTCTGTGGACGTGCAGACGGCGGCCGGCGACGGCGTGGCGGCGGCCGCGGGTCAGGCCGCCGGCCCCGGTCACAGCGTCACCGTGCTGAGAGATACGACCACGGAAGCTGGAGCCGCCACGGAGTCGGCGGGCGCGGGAGATGGTCGCGCCGCCGGGGCCCAGGCCTCGGCGGAGGGAGGCCTCGCCGGGGCCCAGGCCTCGGCGGAGGGGGCCCGACCGGCGGGCCCGCTGGCCGAGGGGTCTGCGACAGAGAGCGGACCGGCGGGGCCGGCGGGGCCGGCGGGGCCGGCGCGTGACCGTCTTGTCGAGGCTCTCCCTGAGAGCTACTGAGCCCCCGCCGGCTGTGACAGCGGCCAACGGACGGCTCGGTGACGGTAGACGTACCACCAGAAGTAGACGGTCAGCTCACCCCACGTAACCTGTCCACCTCAAGCTCATCCCCCACTGATCTTCCTCAAATCCAACATGATCCTCCTCAAGTACCAATAAGAGGCGAAACCGCTTCGGCGCCAACAGGTGCTCCCCCAATAACAACCAATGTTCTCCCAACACCAACCGATCTTCCCGTACCACCAACAGATTCTCCCCCAGCGCCAACCAATCTCCCACAAGCACTAACCGATCCTTCCCCATCGCCTACCAAACCTTCCTTATTGCCCATCAAACCTTCCCCAGCACCAACCAAGCCTCCCCCTGAGTCAACCTTACCTCCCCCAACGGCAACCAATGCCCATCCGACGACAACCACCCCTCCCCCAGCACCCATTAATCCTGCACAAACATCTCCTGCTCCCACTCAGTCTGCCTCCACAGATCCAGGCGTCTCAGGCTCGCCCGGCAGAGTCGTCGCAGCCGCACCAACGTCGTCATCTCGCCCACAAGTGCCAGCGCCGGACCTCCAGCTTCTCCTGACGTACCGAGAGTTAGCACCGACCCGCCGACGTCCGAGGGGGGTGAGACCGGTCAGCCGCTCCGCTCCACTGTTCCCCCGAAAGACACATCGTCCTCTGCCTCCGGGCAGCAAGAAAGCACTGCATCTCCTGTCTCCGTGCAACAAGAAAACACTGCACCTCCCGTCTCCGTGACAGCCGACGAGGCCCTCAATAACGAAGATGCGTCGTCCATCATTCACGGCCTGAAGAAAAACCCTAGTGCACGCGTCAGTTCTACCTCTGGAGAATCGTGGAACCGAACCCGCACCATCGAGGTGACCGACGAGACGACAGTGAAGAATGTTGGCGCACCGTCTGGCGGCGCGCGACGACGGTGATACGGTAGTGAACGGCTGCTAGATGGCGTAGTTCGAGCTCCGCAGTGCAGTCTCACTATACAACATAACGATAACCTGACAGCCGCCTGCGTACGGCGCAGATGACGCAAATAAACATGAAAAAGCGTTTTGGTTGAAATACAAACGTTGAAACAAGTGCGTAAAGCCTTTTGCTGACGCCGAACTCGTTGGAGAAAATAAAAGAAACATCTTTGGCGTTCTGTTTAGTGTTTTATGTTCGCTGATGCTCAATTCATGCCAGTCATCCATCCCTCTTCATTCTCTGCGGTGCCCCATCCTGCGTCCCCGGTATACCCCGCTTGTCCGGGGCAGGCTGCAGGCGTCAGCCACGAGTGGGCCGAGAGCCCCGTGGGAAGGGGGACCCCGACCGGGCATCCAGCGCACATGCACGGGTTAATCCTCGGCGGTTGCCCCCACCCCCCAGGCGCATGTAAGCCTGCTCTACCGTTAACCAATTTCTTTCATCCAATAGCCCTGAATGCCATGGCTTCATTTCTGGTCGAAAGGGCTCTAGTCCAAGCAACCAAAGCAGCCAATTCATCCTGGTATGCGTAGAGGCAGGCAACGTTTGGTATGACACCAAAGCCGCAAACATCTGGCATGTGCACACATTGGAGAGGTGTGTCATGTATTATTGTGAGGCAAAATACAAAATAAACTTCGATTCAAAAGCGAAAAAATGAGGAAAGGTAACACATTTTTCAATGCTTCGTGCAACCTCCCAACACCCTTAGTGCCGCAAGGGCTGCCATAGTGGGCGTACTTAATCAAAATTCAGGCAACCCAGAATGCTACGCATCACGAACGCGTGGGCATCACGCTTCGTTCATGTAATATGAAACAGTGTAACACGCTTGCATACCCATTGCATTGCTGAGACTTATAGTAATGGAGACCTTGGCGCTAAAGATGTTATAAATTTATGTGATAACGCAGGTCAGAAGCGTAGCATATGCGAAAGAGGACATCACATTCAGAAATTGTAGTGCTCATAATTCAGCTCTAACGTAGGCACACACGATGAAGAGGAAATCCTCTCTATGAACAACGCGTCGAAACCATGGAACTTCGCGGCTGTATTCGCAGACTTCGCATTTTATCCAGTGTAACAGTCCGCAACACATTCATGACATGGCATGCTTTCAAAGCAGTCGGCGCCCACTGCGCCGCCAATAGCACAAACCGCCCACCCACAACTAGCCAGCTGGGCGTTAGGCCCATGACGTCATCCATGGACAGTCTGTCTGGCCGCAAGCCCACTGGTCTGTGTTTGGGAGAGACGTGGCTGACGCATGACAGATTGGTCTCTTATTTTTACGGAATATAACGTGATACGCTTTACGTTTGTGGTACGTTGCGCTGCGCAAAGGGAGAACCCGACCTGTTTGTACTTTCGCTTATTGTTACATCAGACGCGTAGGACTTGATCAGTAATACCAGTCTTCTCGAAACTCTTCTAAATTGTTTTTCACAGAGCTTTTTTAGTTGTTTTTTTAAACTTTTTCACCTTTTCATAATGTTGATTTGTAGTAGCTGACCCCCGCGGGAGATATCTCAGTTGACTGCCGGCTCACCACTGTGAATGTAAAACATAGCATTTGCTTTTCTTTTCCAACGTGTGTGTTTCGTGATGTCTGCAACACACGAATGAGATAAAATCTTGTAATAAATGCTACGAAGGCTTGAAGCAGTCTGCTGAGACGAAACAGCAAACATGAATCTTGAAGCGCCCTGCTGAGACAAAACAGCGA